TCTGATGGGGGAAGGGAGAAAGATGCGTTAAAAGTTTTCGAAGAATCTCAAAAGCAAAAGGAGTGAAGGGAGTTCGAGCGACCGAACTGGTCATGAGGGTAATTTTGCATTTTCAAAAGTAGAATTGAAGGATTTGGTATAGGCCTACACTACATTTTCAGGAAAAAAACTGTACGATTTCAAAATATCTGGGGTCAACTGCCCCCCCCCCCCCCGGTGCTTACGGCCATGTTCTTTATTTTTTTCCCCATTTTTATTCCTTTCCTTTTCTTTTCCCTTTTTCTTCCTTTTCTCTTCTTCTTCCTTTTTTCTTTCCTTTTTTTCCTTTTTTCTCTTTCTTTCCTTTTTTCTTTCCTTTTCCTTTTTTCTTTTTCTTTCCTTTCCCTTTCTTTTCTTTTCTTTCCCCTTTTTCTTTTTTTCCCCTGGAGCCCGTCAGGGGGGCACTCTGCCCCCCTGCCCCCCCCATAGGTACGCCAGTGCTTTAAAGGCCAAGCCAACTGACGCTACTTTAGTTGGATTTTTCTTCAATTTCAGCTAAATACTGGACCTAAACTTGACTTTTCCCTATTCCAATCGTCTTTTGTTTTCGCCTCTTCGATAACTTTTCTCGCCATTACATTTTCACAAATTGAGTCCTCTACGTGCACCATAGCGTCATAGCCTGAAGTAAATGACTCTCTCCACATTGGCAATGCGATGTAGAATATAAAATCTCTTTTTTCGTGTATAAATTGGCAATTTTTCAAATGAAATTTTGCTGTTTCCTTTCACATTGTTTCATTAAATAACTAGTTTTTGTTCAAACTATGAAGGAGTGAACAAATAAAATAATATGTTGCCAATTTGAGACGAAAATACTAATTTATTTAGAAATTAAAAACATTCTGAACTGCTTTGTGCTAAATAACATTCTTAATGGCTTGGTGAAAAGGCCATGACTTAAATATTCTCTTCAGCTGATGACCGATAGAGCATTGCGTTATTTGAAATAGAACTTTCAGACTATTGTGCTCCCCGGTGGGGTCACTCAATGTGACTTCCGGACCGCATGACCGTTACCAAAATCGCGGAAAAAGGGGTCAATTTCAAGCAATGTCCGCGGACAAAATATTCCTCGAAATAAAGAAAATAGGGGGGCACAGGTGTCCCCGAAATTGATAAATAGGGGTCAGGAAAAGGGAAAAGAGAAAACCGGGAAGGGAAAAGAGAAAACCGGGAAGAAAAATTCTCGGAGCCGAGTCTTGTCCTTGAAATATGGTAAAATAGGGGTAAATTTTCGAAAGTGTCCTTACAATCTTATAAATAGGGGTATTCCAAAGTACGATTTTGTCCTTGTTTTGACGTAAAAAAGGGGGTTAAATTTCACAAAATGTCCTTGAAATTGACCGCAAAAGGGGGTTATATGCATTGGTGGTAACGGTCATACGTGTCACTCTTTGCAGGGGAGTGACCCCACCGGGGCTCCACTGCTCCTAGGCGATTAAGTTTAAGGAAGATGAAACTATTGAGAGTCAGTTAAACATAATTATCTTAAGATTAGCCTTATTTAATTAGGCCTATTTAGCAAAGACAACAATCTCTCTTAAACTTTGCAGTTTCATAGCTATAGCCATTCTCCCACTGGAGTTGCCATTTTTATAAAATAGTGATGTTAGAGTAATACTTCTTTGACCTGCATAAGTTGATAGGGTGTTGCATAATGACTGGGTATTGAACATCTAGAGACAAATTTCATTAGACCAATTCACATCTCCCAAGATCATAAATAGTTTTTGTTTCCCCCTTTTTAAAGAATATTTCCACTTGTGAATCACGGAATGCATGTTGATGAATGAATGAATAAATTATAATTGCTTCTTTTTGTAAAGTAATCAAAATGACCCCGAATATACCGGAGTGTTGTCAGTAGAGCGTCCGCCTCACAGCCGAGAGGTTGTGGGTTCGAACCCCGGCCGCGTCATACCAAAAGACGTTAAAAGATGGGAGTTGTTGCTACCTTATTTGGCGTTCAACAATAAGGGATAGAGCAACGTCGATCTGGCGCTGCTCAGTGGCTGCCGGGCTCACGATCAATTGGGCAAAAAGAATTTCCGTTTCGGTTTTATAAAATTTGGAGTGGACTATTAGCTATTATTATTATTATTATTATTATTATTATTATTAATATCCACAGATCTTCAAAACATGAATAGGTCCCACTTTGTACATGTTGAACTTATCACTCCTACAGCCATGGAGGTGCTACATAAATAACCTTTGTTTTCCCTTTTCAAAGAATATTTTCCACCTGGGTATCATGGAGTGCACTGCTTGTGCATAAATGAATAATGATTACAAAACTTCCATAAGCACGTATTCAGTATTTTCCTCCGTGTTTTTCACAATTTGGTCTGCAGTGACCTTTATCTGCTCATGCTCAGACGGCTGCAACTGTGAACTGGCTTATTCAACGCATTCGTATCTGTACAGTGCTTAGATACGAATTATTTCTTTTATCTGTTACGAATAATTGCATTTCAATAGTCAGAATGCAAATCGCATATTTTTCGATGTAAGAACAAAGTGATATTCTGAGAGCGATAAGAATCTCATTTTGGGGGAGCGTGTGAATGCCACTTATATGTATCTTACACTGTATACTCGGACTAGGGACCCTTCCACAAAGGATTCATGCCCAGACAGATGCCTATCGGCTACCATGCTGTCTCTACTTTCATAACAAAACATCTAGATCACTAAACTATCCCAGGCATGTAAATGCTACAACGCCCCTTTAGGTCAATTATCAAACGTGCGTTTAATTCACTTCCACTACAATTTTTTTCTTTTAAAAGTAGAATACAGAAAGCAATTTGTTAATTGATTCCTGTTCTCTGTTCAATGTTTACCTTATTTGAACTCGTGTGTTTAAAAACTGGATCACAAAGCTTTCAAGAAATAAATCTTATTATGTTGACTAAATAATATTATCACGTTCGGATTACATAATTTGTCATTGTCATGTTTGCGTGTTTCAAAGGTTGATGGCCATGGCGACTGAACTTTCCTTTAAGTTGATTTGGGGAAAGTGTTTGCGATCGTGATAACTTCCTAACTTGAGAGTATTTAATATATTTTTTCTTACAATATGCATCCAAAGTAACATTATTTTTATTCGATTTCGTCTGAAAATAATTGAAGGCTTGGATTATTAATTTTAGGAGCATGCTACTTCATAATAATTTATGTCATCAAAAATCCATTACGAGCTTGCATGGAAGCATTCGAATTCGCGCCGGATGGACTGCAGTGAATGCCGCTTACGTATTTCAAACTTAAAAGAAACTCGTTATAATTTCCCGGTATAATTTGAATACAGAAATAAGAAAATTCAGTGTCACAAAAAGATCTGAATTGAAGTTCATGAGCAATAGGTTGTCAAAAGCTGCAGTAACTTGGATGTATATCGATGAAAACGACTGATGTTTTGACAAATTTGGTAGGGAAAACCTATACTATAGTTTGATTTGTTCACATTTTGTGTTGCTCTCTGCCTAGCCTCCGTAGAACTAATATATGTGTACTTTTTGCGACTAAACTTAAAGGGATAGTCGAGTTCTGTTGCAGAGGGCGCTACAAAAAATAATTTTTTTGTGAGATAATGAAAAACTGAGTGTAAAATTTGAAAGAATATGATATTTAAATGACAAAATCATCTTTGTTTGAACAAAATCGGTTCAGAGACGGCTGAAGTATAACGATTTCTAATACTTGTGTACAATCACAAGTATTAAATATTTGAAAAAATTGAAAAAACCGTTGAAAAAAACGAAATAACGCCTTTTACGTCGTATTTCAGCCAATGCCAATGTTTTTTTTTGTTGGCATTTTCGTGTTGCTTATATTACGCACAACCAGCCGGTCCATGCATTGTTATTTTTAATTAAATAATTAATTAACGGTCACCGTGTTTTTTTTAAAGTGGAGCTGAATTGGTATGATCGTATTGGCTAAATTTCACACATGTCGGGGTCTAAAACTATCTTCATAGCAATTTTAGGTTCTAAAAGGGCACTATAAATGTCATTGATAAGAATAAGAGCAATAACCATGCACTTTGAAGGCATTTGCGGTCTGAAAACAGAACTCAACTATCCCTTTAAATTGGTAATCCTTATTTTTTGAAAGGCGTTTTTTCATACCTTCGAATTATATTTGGGGATTTGCAAAATAATACAACAGAAAGGTTTTTACTTACCTTTGCTCGTTTATTCATGACCATTTTTGGTAGAATTGCATTACTTATTTTTACTTTTATGACTCAAATTTGAGTAATTTGTCTTGTATTTTTCGAACAGCTAAATAATTGGGTTAAAAACAAGACCTACCAATGATACCCAATATTTGCCTAAGCCACCATAGCTCAGTGGTAGAGCACTGGTCTTGTAAACCAGGGGTCGTGCGTTCAAATCTCACTGGTGGCTTAAATTGGTAAACCTTATTTTTTGGAAAAGCGTTTTTTCATACCATCGAATTATATTTGGGGATTTATAAAATGATACAACAAAAAGGTTTTTATCTACCTTTGCTCGTTTATTCGAGACCATTTTTGGTAGACTTGCATTACGTATTTTTACTTTTATGACTAAAATTTGAGTAATTTGTCTTGTCTTTTTCGAACAGCTTTTATATTTTATGTTCTAAAAGGGCACTAGAAATGTCACAGATAAGAATAAGAGCAATAACCATGCACCTTGAAGGCATTTGCGGTCTGAAAACAGAACTCAACTATCCCTTTAAAGGCCAAGCCAACTGAGGCAGTTTTAGTTGGATTTTTCTTCAATTTCAGCTAAAGACTGGACCTGAACTTTACTTTTCCCTATTCCAATCGTCTTTTGTTTTCGTCTCTTCGATAACTTTTCTCCCCATTACACTTTCACAAATTGAGCCCTCTACGTGCACCAACGCTGGCGAAGCGTCGTCTGCTACCAAGGCAAACGTGCACTGTACTCCATTTGCTGTTTCGAACGTGATCACGCTTGAGCACACATAAGATAGACAGTCCTGTACACTGACTTAGCGGTGTCGGAATTATCAGTTTACAACTCATGAAATGGCACAGTTTTTCAATCATTTGCAGGTGAAAACAGGTGAGTATATCTTGATCAGTCAATTAACCTTGTCCATGTCGAAAACCTTTTGTGATATGTCACGTTTTGAGCTGCGGATTTGGTTTTGAATGTCTCTGCTGTGGCCTTGTCGGGTTTGCAATTGTTGCACTGCATGTGGACTGTGTGTGATTGCTCAAGCGATTCGTTACAGCTTGGGCTCGGGGAGGGGGGGGGGGGCAGTTCGTATCATACAACCCCTGCTTGGCAAGCCCTGTAAAAAAAAAAAAAAAAAAAACAGAGACCTTTACAGTAGCATGAAGACTTTTTGTTTAGTGTTCTGTTATGTCTATTTTGACATGGTCAATTTAGCCTACTAGGCTTTAGACCTAGTTGAGGAATAAATATAAATGATTGCAGGGGTGGCGATCCCTGGGAACAGGGGGACACCCCAAACCCCATCCCCTGGGTATTTTGAAGGGTGCAACAAAAGTATATAGCAAAAGATTATTAATAAAGGCGACACATACAACACACTTTCAGGTTCTGAACTAAAATGCGAAGTTTCAGAATTTAAACTGAAACAATTGTATTGCTTGGTCGCTTCGCATGGGCCTTTACTAGTGTTGAAACATTACCATATTGTAGAAGGTATCACAAAAGCAGAGATCTTCAGAATCCTGTGTTTTACAGGTGCCATACAATGTGCACTCCCAATAGGACCCTTTATGGTAAGCAAGTTAAGGAGGAGGAGGGGGGGGGGGGACACCTCTCCCTGTGAATATTAGAGAGCTGAAATTTGGAAAACCTGATCTTTTTCTATTATTTTAATGGTGTTTTACTGCTGCCAATAAGAAAAATTGTGCATATTAAGATCAGACTATGATTTGCCTGTGTGAATAAATGTGCTCTTATTTAAAAAAAAAAAATTTCAAGTCACCTCGCGAAAAAGATAAATATAATTTACTGAAGAAGACACGAATGCAAAAAAGTTGTTATACTGCAAAATGCAACATCTTTTTATTTCATGTTTATGTGTACGGGTAGGAATGAAGAAAAACATAGGCTCTATCTCCACCTGAATGGTTCAGTAGATAATTAATGTGATTATAGTTTAAAGCAGATCTCTGAAGAAAAAAAAAATTGAGTTTATTGTGTGTCACTGATAAAGAAATAAAGTATGATCATCGAGAGTTTTATTTGCAAGAAATCTGATGAATCTAATTCCTATGGAAACAGAACCAAGCATGTTGATCAAGAGCCATTGAAATTAGGCACTGTATGCAAGGTGGGGGGGGGGGGGGGGGGGGTCAGAAATATTTTGTGGATGACATGTTTGAGATCATTGAGTTGTATCATTTCCTTTTTATGTTGCTTTTCCCCTTTAGCTTTAATCTTCTCCCCCTCCCCCACCCTCGCGCAATTTACTTGTTGGAAACAATTTTTCTTTCCCTTTTCTTCAGGGAACATATTTCTGTTAATTTACTTTAACATAGACCTAATGCCTTTCTGGCATTGAACAGATGATTTGTTATGTCGCAGACCGTCTTTGAATAAAACCCACTATTACACCTTGAAACATAAGGCCACCATGTTAGAGTCTGACCCAATTATGACAACTTCATCACCTGACACCAATGCTTCATATTTGACCCCCTGCAGTGTTCCCCCAACGCCCCCTTCCCAGACCCACCTGTGCTCTAAACAATAACATTTCATGTATTATGTATGCTATGTTAAAGGCATCATTAAACAATGTTAAATCTGAGATGCACGGCCCTACGTGTTATTAGTGTCTGGGATATGGTGTAATATTGAAACCCTACAAAAAATTGCGCTTCAAAATGATCAAGAAGTGCCTCAAAAAAGTAAAAATCTTTGAGTGACTGGTTTTACCATACTTGTTTTCCAATCATAAATATCTTGATAATCAGACAGGTGATCGGCTTGCAAAAGTCGTGGGGTTCCTGACTGACCTAAAGGTTTATAATTATCATTGCAGCATGAGCTAAATCCAGGATTTTTTTTCAGAATCTGAGACAAAGTTATCAGATCCCTTTAAAGGCAGACCTGCATTAATGATTTGGTATAAAATTCAGGATTAAGTATTCTGAGCTGTTTTTAATAATCAAGAAAACAGAGTAGTAAATTTCTTTCACGAGGAAATTAATTAGGTGTATTTTCAACCTAAGCAAAGAAAAACAATGAATAGTTGGGGGACAAAATAATCCTAGAGAAATAAACATTGAAGTACTACTTCACTTTTTCTAAGTGGGAAGGGGGGGATGTTGCATAAAATATATTTCAAACTGTGATGAATGAAAGATGATGTAGGAAAAACATAAATTTGTAGAAAGATATGGATATTTCTTTGTAGATGTATTAGTGTGTTTGCAAGTCAAAGAAAACTGAGCTGGAATTTTCCCTTTTAACACTCAGAATGATAAATATTTCGCTTGAAACTTATTTATTGTTTTTAAGCATTATGAGATTTTGTGGGCTAGAATTAAAAAGTAAATGAATGTCATAATATATTAGCAAAGCAAAAAACAGGACTTGTATTCATCAACTCTGCCATTTTGTAACTAAGTCTTCCACAGGGACACCCCCTCTCACAAATATAGTCTCCAAAGTCTTTGTTGCAGGCACTTTATGTTGCAAAATTAATTGGATAAATGGAGAAAACCCCATGCAAAGAAATGCACTTTTGGAAACGCAAGGTTATTAAAAGTATTTTTTATGTCCTTGGAAAAATTCATGAAATATTATAATTACTGTGTTTGTAATACAGTGTGCTTCAGTGAATGGCTGCTCAGTATGACCATCAACTAGTAAGTCCATGGTATGACACAAGAGTGTCACTATACAATCCATTCAGCTCCAATTTATTACTTTTCACTCAGACCAAACTAATATAGTAAATTGTCATTTCCAATATATGCCGTGGTATTCTGGTTTATATGCTCACGCCTGCTCACAAAAGAAGCATGAATTATTTAGCAGTTCCCACCATTTTATGATACGGTTGTTGGGATATTATGATGAACGGCTGACTTGTCTTTCATAGATGGGTGAATTATAGCGATTGAACGTACGTGTGGAGGCCTACGTTGAACGTACCATAATGGTGGAGTAAGGGACTGTACTATGATAGATTCATGAGCACTATGCTTTGAGGTTCTCTCTTGTTTGCCCTTGTGTATAATTGCTACAAAATAATCTTAATATTCATCATACTGTGATGGTTTATATATTTTGATGTTTCATTTTTTTTTAATGAATATCATTGGTGGTTGTCACAAGAATAGAAATTGCAGTTACAATATTAAATATCATCAGCAGAATAGACAGAGACAGAGAGAAAGGGAGAAAGGGGAAAGGTAGAGAGGGAGAGACAGACAGACAGAGAGGAAGAGAGAGAGAGAGAGAGAGAGAGAGAGAGTGTGTGTGTGTGTGTGTGTGGGAGAGAGGGAGGGGGTAGAGGGAGAGAGAGATAGAGAGAGAGAGAGAGAGAGATAGAGAGAAAGAGAAATAAGAGTCCATCTCAAATTTTAAGTGTGAAAACATATCAAACAGGGATGCCTAGAAATTATTAGAAATATTAATTGAAATTCATCAGTGCGAAGAAAATTATAACACGGTCTATTACCAGTTCCCACATAATTAGAATTTGATATGTGCTCGCTTATCACTCATTATTTGAGCATTTTTTACATGTCGGTGGAAAAGCAGGCATGTTATCGACAATTTGAGAATTTAATTAATCCCCAAACACCATGTATTATGTCTATTACCTCACTGACTGCATATATGTACTTTTTTTTATACTTGCAAATCTCTAACATTGGATGTTAAGCAATGAGGATATACTTATAGAACAGTATATTGTCATTATATCTAATGTAGGAACAGTTATAGAACAATAATTGTAGAGGGGCTGGAGGGGAGAGGGGGGGGGGGGTGGGAGGGGGTGGGGTTCCTGCATTTATTTTTTTTAATTTGCCTTGCTTAAATTCATGTACTATTGAGAAAAAAATATGTGGGACTTGAAGAAATATAAAGTACAATATACACATTTGGGCAGATGAAACTACTAATAAAAACTAGTTAGAAAAATTAAATAATTGTAATGATTTCACTGCTTTTTGTGTCATACAGATTTTGATGATTTTATGATCAAATTCACATAGATCATCTTATGATAGCCTTTGAAATAGGATGCGCTTCATGTGGGTTTCATATATACAGATGTCGATTATTTTATGGTCAAATTCACGTAGATCACTTTATGATAGACAATAAGATAGGATTCATAAAGATGTTGATTTTATGATTAGATATCACACTGTCTCCTACTATAGCTGATGAAACACAAAACTTCGCCTCTTGTCAATCCATCATAACAGTTATCTGTACAAACACGTCCTAGACAGACCGTCAATTAGCTTTCCATACATCATATTGTCCGGTTATTTGCACATTTTATTCTGTGTTTGTCAGAGCAAAAAGCCCTTTGTCAACCTGTCTGAACTCTGAAGTTATTATGAGGTATACTTCTTTCTAATCTGAGGGGGATTGGCAATGATGTTCAGTTGACAATGATCAAGATATATGATAAGTGAGATAGTAAAATCAGAATGTATTTAGGAGCAATTCCTTATTCCACTGATATTTTAATCTTAATTCTGATGTGACACAGGATTTAGATACTTTTTCATAATAGCTATTTTTTAAACATTTTTTCTTTACACAGTTTTTATGAGGAAGCAAGTGTCCTTATTCATGTTAAAGTAATTGGACATAGAAATATCAAATCCTTTTTCAATCAGATTTTGATGTTGATGAGGCCATTGTTGTAAAGATTTGTCTATACCGGTAGTTATTATAAGAGATGGTATTTGGTCCTTTCCTTTAAATATTAATGATATATAAACACTCTGGGTTGATGAAGGCATTAATTAAGACATTGATTGCTTTAATGATGTATGTGTTATATTTTATTAGTATGACAGTTATACAGCAGATTTGTGAAGTATTTATTG